TATATAATACCACATTCACAAAATAACCAAGGGCAGCAGATGCCTTTTCAGTGGGTGGGAGCATGCAACTGTTTGCTGTACACCCCACTGGTCAGATGTATGTCCAGAACTGTTGATGTATAGTAAAAATGTAGCCTGATATTTTAGAGAAATTTATTCCAAATTGTATACAGCTGTTTCTGGCTTTTTTTTTTTACTCAATTAAAGTCTCTCAAGTAAGGGCTTGTTCACACCAAGCGCGGAGCAGAGAGCAGATCCAGAGCAGAGCAGGTGCAGACCGGATCAAAACTGCGTCCAATGTACTGTATTCCTATGGTATTTTGAGCTCCAGTTCACATCGCAGCGTGCAGATCCAGAGCAGGTGAAAAAACTGCGGCAAGCCCTATTTTACCTGCTCTGGATCTGCTCTGGAACGCATCAAAAATGCATGCAAAATGCAAAAGCGCATCAAAAATGCATGCAAGTGCCTGAAAGCCCATGCTAAACTTAAAAAAATATATATATATTTTTTAACCAAAAACGGCCCGGAACGCATCAAAAATGCGGCACAACCCACCGGATCTGCTCTGCATTTGGTGTGAACAAGGCCTTATGCATAAGGCATTCCTAACCCATTAAACCTAGAATAATGTTGATGTAGCAGTGTATGCACACTTAAAAAAATTTAGTGCTATTCAACCTGACTAATGATTATGGAAGTGAGACTGATTTGCCATTCCTTGTGAAAAAAAAATTCTGCAAGGGGTCTTTGGGATCCAGAATAAGGAAATTTTGACTTTGCTGGATTATCCATGGCATAGGGCCTTCAGTGTTGTGTTGGTTGCAGAAGGAATTTATAAAGCCTTGATTTCCATGGCTGAGGCATTGTGAACTAAGTCAAAAGCTGACACATACTGCATACTGCAAGCAGCTGTTTTAGGCTTTTTTTGGCCATCATCATCAGAAACATGGAAACCATATAGTGTAGGGTTTGGGACACAAAGAGGGAGTATAGCCATACCGGTTCTGGTGAGAAAGGCATTTTTCATGTCATGATTAACATGGTGATGAATACTATGGTAAAAATATATGCTTAAATTCACTGTGCCACTTTTCTTTGTTTTATAGATGTCCCTCAAAGCTCGGTAACCTTAACTTTATTTTTTTAAATCTCTAAAATATTATTGTGGTTTGGAAATCCTCATTTTTCTAAGAGGCTGCCACATATGGCTTGCTGTTGACCTGGTTTTCCAATTACCTGGGGAAAAGAAAGATTTATTTGTTGTGATAAAAAGGAAAAAATAGGTTTCATTTTTTTCTCTCTTGTGTTATCTGGGGCACAGGTGTCTAAAGCAAAAGGAAGAAACATTCTATTTTTGCTGATGACATGCCTTCTTGCAATCTAGATTTTCTGTTTCAGACTGCAAAACAATTAGAAGGAAAGAGTCAAGTGAAATCAGACATGCAGAGCTTTTTACATAATATTCAGGCCCTAGTTTGCTTTCTGTCACATTATATTCTGTCACTTTGTGACTTCTAAATCAGAATTCCTAAACTTTTCAGGTAAATGTAAGCCTTTAAACATGATCTAACATTCTAGCATTACATTTCAACATTATTGGATTGACTTACCTTCATCGCTGTTGTCATCCACTAAGATAATTTCCTTTAGGAGATGGACAGGTGTGTGATTTACTGCACTGTGTACTGATCGTAGAATCACTGATAGAGCTTCATTGACAAATATGAAAATGATTGATATCTGAGGAAGTTCTTTGGGGTATTTTAATTTCTTGCACCTGAAAGATATTAAATCATTACTTGTAAAGTGTTCTCTTCTAGAAAAGGATTTTGTCTAATTTCCTAGATAAAAATCCATTTTATTTCACACTGTATTGGATGAAGTGCTCGGTGATGTCTATTTTAGCTGTTAATTTTAAAAAGTGTCTATGCTACACACAGCTACACAGCCAAAGAGCAAACAGAGATATTCCACCCCCTCCTCCTCTGACATGTGCCCCCAATGGATAGATTATTTATACATCAATAATAGCTCAATATGTTCTCAAAGGGACATACACATGTTTTCAAATGCTTATCAAGACATTTCTTCACATTCACAAATATCTGTCTATATCACATGTATCCTTACACAAAACTAAATAGGGATATGTGGTTGTGCCTGGGTTCACTTCGTGGGGGTTCATCGAATCCTGCATAAAATCCAAAACTTCCAAACTTAAAATTTAACCCCAATAATGTCTTTGCGGGATGAATCTTGCTAAACAATTCTGTCCATTCCCAAGTTAATAGGCAAGGGTGTGCTAAAAAAAAAAAAAGGCAAGTAGAGAGACATAATCTGTTAGTCACAAGCAGGTGTTAATTGTATTTGCATAACTGTAGTCTAGGAGGTGTGATTAACCTGCCCAGAGGGGTTTTAAAACAGCATTGTATGTGGCAGACAATAGATGTCTCCCCCCACCTCTTTTTTCAATTGTATCCTGGGTCACATCAGCAGGGTGACTCTTTTTGAGTCTCTTTCATTGCAGATGCTATTGAGCTTTTTTGGCACTGGTGGACGTTGGCTATTAATGAGGGGCAATTTATTTGTTTTGTATTGTTTTTGCACATGTGTGGAAAGAAGATTTGTTAGCCAAGGAAGTCTTTTTATCCATTTACGGTCTTGTATTTGTTATGAATTTTTGAATTTTTGATACATAGTAAAATTGTTATATTTTCTTGTTACTAGCACTGTTTAGTAGTGAAGTTTCTTATTGCATAGGGATTTTTTTCTTGTTTTACAATGACCTCTATACTAGTGATTGTAATAAGTGTTGATGCCCCACCTACCTTGGCTGCCATGTGTAGTTTTGAACAGTCAGTCAGTAAATATGTCACAAGCCTCACAATTACATGCATTGTTTAAACAAATGCATAGAATTGATAAGATGTATTTTTAATGCATATAAAACATTTAGATTACATGGCTTTTTATACACAGTAAGAAATAAGAAAGTATGGAAATTAATAGATAAACTCAACAGCTTTCAATAAAAATGCACACCCTGTTAGTGCCTGGGATTAAATAAAATGTGCAGGATTGCATATTAAAAATAAGCAAAGGCTCTAAATTCAGATTTATCAGCCTGGCTGTGCCTGTACATATTGGAAGAGTCAGCAGGTTTTAGAGATCAGATCAATTATATGCTAAAACAACGGTCTTTTCCAGCTGGAGATAACTATCTGGAGTTTAGTGGATTTTATTGATCACTAACTTTATTACAGCATCCAGCTATAAATCTCAAATCCTATGTTTGCTGGGCCAGGAAATACTGTAATGTTTATTGACTCTGAGTTACTGTAACAGGATGAGGATATCATACTATGTGTCACCACACAGTGGCAAATCTGGATCATTTTGTATTGCCACTATTATTGTTATCTCACAAAGTAACAATGTAAACACGGATGCAATATCTATAATCAATATATGTTGTAGATAATGAAACACCAGCCAGCCAGCTGGCTGTAGTCACAATGTTTTTAAAGCAACCCTGCATCCATGCTAAGTGAAAGCAAGACAAATGTAAAAAAAAATGCCCACCTTACTCTCTGGCTTCTGGCACAACTACTTAGTGTGGGGTGATGTCACTGGGCCCTTTTGTGGTATACTGGGAAAGATGAGGATCCTAAATTCCATGAGAAAGCATCCTTGGCCTTGGCTTCACTTGGCCTATAAGACTCTGCTCTCTCATGGTTCTCCTCTTACCTGTCTAAGCGCTCCAAGTAAGTCCTCATGGGCAGGGCCCTCCTTACCACCTTGTCTTGAATTGTATTGTAACTGTAATGTCTTCCTTATATTGTAAAGTGCTGTGCAAACTATTGGCGCTATATAAATCCTGTATAATAATAATAATCCTTGTGCAGTACTGGAGTGTCTTCTTGCAAGATCTTTACCAGCATCCCATGGTGAGGCCTATTGATGTCACCAGCACCTACAGGATGTAGCCAAAAGCCAGTGTATAAGTTGAGTATTTTTCAAATGCTTACATTTTTTTATAGCTTGTTTTCTGCATTTTTACATGGAGGATGGGGCTGTATGAAAAGAAGACCATTCATGCAAGGTCCACCTTAAAGTAACATGTTTCTCTCTATACTTAAAGGGGATGAGAGAGCAGGATCTACTGATGAGCATAGAATGCATGCCGTCTCCACAGTTTTGAGGAATCAGACATGTCCACTCACATATATATTATTAGTTTTGAGTATAAATTATTAGCAATACAGCAATAACAATAAGTGATTGTACTATTATTTATATTATCTAAGCTCCAAAAGGGTTACGACAGTTTAAAATACCCATAAGCATTGACTAAACAAAATAAACGAAAACTGTTCAGTTTTGCTGTTTTAGCCCTGAGTTGAGTTTACTGACAAGGTTGAGAGTCTCTTCAATAATAAAGAGTCTCTTCTCTGCCACACTGTCTGGATATGATTATCTTCTTTCATCCATGGCTGCCATATCTGGGTTGGCAGATACATTTTCTACGTTAAAATTGTGTGATTATTTGCTATACTCTGTAAGCTGCGTAGATTTCCTTAATAAGAAGTTGAATTCTCTTGTCAGCATCCCTTCTATTCACCATTACATTTACTTCAAGCTTTCACCTTGAATAGAGAAAGATCAGACTCGAACAAAGCTGATGTTATTTCAAACCTCCTTTATGTCTACTGCAATTAAAGATAGCATTATTCCCCCACAAGGTAAAAGCATCTGTGTCTGTTGTGGCAACCGTGTGTTTGGTCTAGTTAATAGTTGGTGAAGAAGAGATGAGCATACTATTTACTGCTACAAAACATTTTGTTCTCTGTAAGTACAGAAAGAGCACAAGTTCTTTTAGGCAGGGTGAATAACTTGTGGATTGCAAATAAGAAAAGGAAAAAGAAAGACTGGGAGTTGGGAAAATCAAGTTTATAAAATTGTGAGCAGAACTTCCTGGTCAGTTGCATCACTGCAGCCTCCATTTACTTTAAAGGATAATAAAACTTCCACACATAGCAACCATAACTGTCACTGGCCTCCGCATGCTACTTATCACAGTATAGACCTGAGATCAGCAGACAACCTGGATCAACATGCTGGCATGGAAGACACACCCCTCCTCCACTTATCTAGGCTGCATGGTACTTTGCATGTGCCATCTTTTCCCTACAGCTCCTAATTGAGAAATTTCACCGGAAAACACAGCAGAAACTGTTTGTTTTTAGATGGTCTCTCTTTAACTGAAAGTCTGTATTGAGCCATACAGTACAGAGAGGGTGGAGGGTAAATCACTCCCTGTGCACTTCTTAAGATTAGCCTGGTAAATCTGTGAACAGGTGCGAAGGGATCCACTTGTTCATTAGAGTAAATAAATCTGTTTGGAATTTTAGTGCAGCAATGGTACTGTGCTGTCAACCCAAGAAAGGAAGCTAAGAAAGCAATGGATTAGTGGTATACAAACAAATAATGTATTTTAAGGTATAAAACCTGGGAAAATGTGCATGTACTGCAGAGATGTACAGAATACGTTGGGGTTTTTTTGTGCGCTGGCATACACATTAACCAGATTAGATTAGACTTATCATAAGGGAACCAGATAGCTGCTTTTGCTGAAAATCATACTAGCTTGGCTGTCTGACCCCATGGCTTTTAATAATTTGAGTCCCTAACACAAAACAGCTATAAGGATGGATTTTCTCCAGCGTTATTGATTTGCATAATTGTTGGTGTCACTCAAAGAATGGATCAGATAAGTCAGAGAACTTCAGAAGGAAGTCATCAATGGCAGCCCCTGTATTTATCTCATGAACTCATGAGAGAAATGTGTATACTATATATGCAATTATATATTTAAAGGGACTCTGCCGGGGTAAAAATATGGGAGATTTCTTGTTTTTTAAGGTGTTTGCTCTAAGGCTGTCATCTTTATCATTTCTTCACTACATATATACTGTATATCCTGTATGTATAGAATAAATACAAAAAGGACAGAAGTTCGTAACCCCTCCATAGACTAACTGGGAGTTCACTATCTATACACTTTCTTATTTTAACATATCTGGAGCCATACTTTCAAATTTTGTTTGAAATGCCAGGATTTCATAGTTTACTTGTTATAATATAATGTACCTCTATTGGAATCAATATAGGTTTGTGATACATTTTAAGTTACAAAACATAGATAAACATTGGAAACATGAGGTATTGTAAAGGGTTGCATAGCATTTTAATCAGAGAGATCACAAAGCAGTCCAAAAGCACTGATTCAGGGAATATGACATGAGTGTAGTATTGTTATTCTTTTCTCAGATACAAATTAAAGTTAATGCTTTTCATAATATCAAAAAGTTGAAACACAAAGACTAGTATAATCTGAAAGAGAAAAAGAGAACCTGAAGTTGTTCATGGAAATGCAATGTAGCTGTTAATTGGGATAGTACTTTTTATTAGACACTGTTAGTGTAAAAAATGCATAATATACTGTAAATTTTTAACCCATTACTCAAGTTAAAACTATTTTATTACACCACAATTGTTACTACTTTTCGCTCTTACTTAGTGGGTCTGTAGTCCGGTATAGACCGATCCAATGATATTTTCTCACTGAGGTAAGAATTATAGCCATATTTTTCATGTGGTCCTTTGGCTTTCTCTCCTTCTTCAGGGGTAAGTGTAGCTGGAAGACCACCTTTTCCTCGGCCGCCATAGCCTTCAATAAGCCCAAGTGACTTAGACAAACCTTACAACAAGAAAAATAAGGTGTTACTATAAACCATCTGTGTGCTAGATACGGTCATGTTTATTAATTTCAGAAAAGCAGGTTACATACTGAATGAACAAAATCGACTTTCTAAAAGTTGATGGGGTCAAATCGATGATTAATTTAGACCACAGTGACAAAAAAATTTGAAGGAGCATGTTGGAAAATGTTGCTCAATCAATTGAATGAAAGTCTAACAATGAATTTGGTTTTCGATCTGGAAACTCCATTCATTCCAAATTTAAATGGTGACACAAAACAAAAATCAAACGAAATTTCGAGCAACATTCGCCAAGTCTCTGATTGCATTATTGAACTTTCTAATGAGATCTTTCATACAAATGTTCATCTATCAGTGTATACCCTACCTATACTTCAGAGATTCATCAGTGATATCTGTTGACTGGAGAGTTCACTCTAAGTTCAAAGAGTTATTTAATAATAAGTACATAGTGCAATGTGTAAGGGCAATGTGCAGTAATCTGTGGCATAATATTTCAGGTTACTGAAAAAAGTTGATATCTAAATTATTGCCATAGATTTATATGTGTATTTTTGCACAATCACTTCAAAATCACTTCACCTTAATAAATAAGCCATATATGATCCCTGACCTGTTGAATACTGCTCAATAGTTTAGAAATACATTGACATTCATGCTACACTGAAGAACTGTGTGACGCTTCCTGAAATGGAAACCAGTAAAGAACCTCTAGCAGGGATTTTGGTGTATAATTTTGGAATAAAATATATACCTTTTGATGGTGTCATTATCACACCCTGGTGTCAATTCACAAAGCTTTTTTTCGGCCATAATTTATTAGATATTGCACGCTATTTAGGTTTATTCAATTCACCAAATGATTAAAAATTTGGACTCTCCACCAATTAACGTCTGTAATTGCAGAAGTGATATTTTACTGTGTAACTTGTTTTTTTTAGCATTGCAATCCTTATTTGAACAAGCCTAATCATTAAGTATGTACAGAAGTACAATTTACAAAGATTGTTCGGCCATTTATCGACCATTAGACAATTGTTTAATAAGAACCTCCTTCAGAGTGTCGTTATGATAGTTTTCTGATGGTATTTTCTGCTCTGAGAGGGAGATTTGTGAGGTGAATTGATAACTTCTGGTAGTGAAGCCTTTTTTTCCTGTGTTTGGAAGAACAACAGTGCAGTCTGTTGAAAACATGTCATCTCTAGGCACTGTTCTCCTCCCCTTCTGGTCCCAGAGTGCATCAGTCAAACATATGTCAACACTGTACACATTTATTTTATGATTAAAGATGTAAAAAAATAATTCTTGAGGGGTGAAAATTACTCTTCAGTTGTTAAAATGACATCAAACACTTAAAAATAACAACTCACTAACACTTCAGTCGGAAACCTTAATAAGCATGCTAAATAACGATTGGGACTTTCGTGAATGCCATGTTTTCAAACGAAAAACTTTGGAAAGTGTATATTCATTAAAAAGCTTATTCACATCACAATGAACATAAAAGAGCAGCAAAAACCCATGCACGTTGATGTGTGTCATAGAGGATTGACATGCATTTTTAACACATAGTGCTGTGATCTACTGTCCGTTAAACTGACATTTTAAATAATTTTTTTAAACAATATTTCTTTATTAAAGTTTTCCAAACAGTACAAACAAAAAATCAAGCTCTGCTATTACTTAAGCGCATAATAATACAAGAAATCATCACAATAATTAGGAAAAATGAGAACATTAGAGGCATACGGATACCAACAGCATTGGCAGTCTCAACAGAGTCACATGCGTCTGTGCTAGACATCCTAGGTGACGATAATGGTGAGGCATGCTATCTGGAAATTGGTGAATGACATGAATCATAAACAGGAAACTATAATGGATTATTAAAGTTTAACTTCTGGAGAATAGAAGGCAAAAAGGCAATCAAGGGGGAGAGGAAACTAATGGGAAAAAGGAGTTTAGTAGCTATAATATTATATTGATTGCCCAAAGAACAATAGTGGAGTAGTAGAATCATGGGGATCATTGAGTCAACACGGTACATATGACAAGCAGGAACATGTACCTATTGAGTGCTATGTGAACAAGAGTGAAAGGGAGATATGAAAGGCAAGCAACATATTACAGAGACATTGGACACATACTACAAGAAAGAGAAACAGAATGAGGCAAGGAGTAAGTGCCCGGGTGAGAGGTAGGAAAAGCTATGATATGAATACCATGCATCAAGTATCTTGTAGCCAGCACTCCCAGTTCTTGTCAAAGTTCCTCCCTTTACAACGAGATTTAGCATAGAGGTATTTATAGTGGACATGGGTATTAGGGATGTCAATAGTTTCCTCAATGGTGGGGATGGTAGATTACTTTCATTTCCTGGCTAAAGTCAGTCTGGCTGCTATTAAAGTGTGAGGCACAAAGGTATGATGAGGGGGAGGCCAATCTTCAATACCCACACCCAATAGAGCCAATTGAGGTGTGGGGGGCGGAACGTGGGATTGAGTGATCAACGAGATAAATATAACGATAGCTTCCCAGACGTGTTGTAAGGGTTTGCAGAACCACCAAGTATGTTGGAGGGAGCCAATTTTCCCACAATCACGCCAGCATAAATGAGAGGTAGATGTGTAGATCATTGCCAGTCTCCGGGGAGTACCACCTATGAAACATTTTTTGTAGTGATTCTCAGTGAGAAATGCATCTAGAGGTTTTCAGTGGCCATGCAAAGGTCCAATATAATTGAGGCAGAGTTAGGACAAAGTTAAATTCACTTTCCCACTATAACACGGACGGGAGTTTTTCAGTAGAGGCCGGTTCGGTGAGGAGTTGGTAGAAAATTAATATGCCTTTGAGAGCAGTGGAAGGGTCTTGAAAAAATACATCTTTTATTTGTAGGCTACATCAAGTGTCAACATACTAACGTCTTTTTTGTTTTATCATACCCACGTAGACGTACACTGAAATGTTTTTGTGTGTGTTGCATTGCATAAAAATGCAGCATGTCTGCATTTTTCCTCAACACATACAAACTTACTTGTATGATGTGAACAGGGCACATATAAAGCAATTGTTGTAAGTGTCTCTGCATTGATCAACATAGATCAACATAGCTCATTGCACCTGGGGTTAGCAAGTCCTTATGCCTAATCATGTGAAGGGTGGAAAAAAAAAAGATTTTTGCTTGTTTGTGATTAACTGATTGAATATAACATAGCGTCATCTTATTCACTAAGGGGTCTATTCACAAAGCTGCCGAAGGATCTGGCCGTAGCTCCGGCCGATCCTTCGGCTAGCTTCGGCACCAGGACCCCTTCGGTTCAGGAGAACCGAATACCTAAGCTAAGTGAGCAATCTTTAGTCTTTTAGTAATCAACCCCATCATCTCATAAATTCCAACAATCCTTCTACAGACATTGGTCATAATACCATAATGCTGACTAAAAGAAAAAGGTATAACTCATCATCTGCCTCTTACTGGGTGCAAATTGAAAACTTTTATATACTGATCTTCAGTATTTAGATTCTTCATGTACTCACAATTTACATGTAATTGAATTCCAAGGTCTAATTAAGGTGTTTTTCATTTAGAAAACATAAAACAAAGGACTATAATAAATATGTTGCGTTGCACTTCTTTTAAAGGTAAGTTTTTAAATCTGTCCCAAGTGAAAGGATTTCATAAAAATGCAGACTTACATTTACTAACATTACAACATATGTAATCTGTATCAGGTGTATTACTCTAATGTAAGACAAGCATATTATATGAAGTTACTGGTGATATGTGCTTTAAGAAGAACTCATTATATCTGATTTAATAGATTTTTGTAATTTGTTAATTATTCCATTTCTATCTGTGTCAATCTCTGTGCCTCACACATGACATGGCAAGCTGATAAAATATAAAGCACATATTTTTTGTAAAACAAAAAAAGCAATGAATGTGGTTAGTAGTAATTACCATTCTACTACTGCTAATGGCATGTATTCCTGAATGATCTGAAAATAATGTAAATCAGATGCTTTAGCTAGAAGCTATGTGCCTTGGTGCAGCCATGTAGAAAAATTGTAGAGATTTATTTTGGTGATCCCTTTAGCCAGTAATGATGTGCATCTAATAAGTAATAATCTAGTAAATAATAATTTAGACAGTTTTAGTATGTGGATAGAAGCATACGATTCAAATAATGTTTTATTTTCAAACATAAATATGTTATAAATCCTAAAAGTTTTATTTTGCTTTCAGTATCGTGAGACTGGTCACCTGGACCAGTGGAGTATTTGACATTTTTGTATGAGTATTGATTTGTGCATTCATTTCTCTTGTATTTTTACCATTATTATGTCTATCTCTTAGTCTTCTGTAAGAAATGCTGCTTAAACAGACTCTTTCATTAGAAAAACCAAATGCTGTACCTAGAGGTGCCTTAACATACCTGTGGCAACCTCCAAAACCCTGAGTTTATGGCCATTTTGGCAATTCTCTGACATTCTGTAATAGTGCTAAAGCTTGCCTGCATCCTGCACATTCCTACTGGTCAGTGGAGCAGTCCATCATAGTGATGGGCCAATGGCAATGAGTGGGGGGCAGAAAGTAGGCGCAAGCTACAACACTATCCACACATTTGATAGCTTTGATAGTCCAGGGTTTGGCTGTGCAGACACCCCAACCATGTGCAGACACCCTTAAGTTCGTTCACTTCACCTCACAGCTGTTAATTCCCTGCTAACAAAGTCTCTTTAAAAGTAGAAAGAAAATAATTAGATGCGTCGGGGTGCCAATCCAGCAGCAGGTATACCTGCTGCTTATACCCATGACTGATGAGAATATGGGCTAATATCAGCATAGCAAGGAGTTTTGCAGAGTTCTGATCCACTAGCCATGACGGAATATGGGGTCAGTAGATAAAAACAGGCAGATTGGTTTGTAAACAATGACAGACCCAGAAGGCTGGAAGATATCAAAACCTGTATATGC